TACTTCATTTGGACAACTGAGCTGGTGTGGCTCCCTCAGGTTCTGGGTTCTTCCATTTTAGCCTTTTCCCTTGCCTCTCTCTCTATATTGTCATACTTCTTATGCATCACAAAGAAATCAAAAATTAATTAGTATTCTTGACATATATTTGAACATAAAAATCAACTTTCGCATAGTAGGCATTGGATAAGATTTGATTAAATTTATTGGTTGATTCATAATACCTGTTCGAGCAAAAAGGCAAGAGAAACTTTTTTGGATTCCTCAACTTGCATAGCATTGTTTTCTATATTTTCAGGCTTGGCAAAGGGGAGATAGATCATCCCTCATTTCCTTTGGCCCACTAGCACAAGCACCCATATCTGTTTTTCTATAAAAACCCAGAAAAATGTAAAGAGAGAAAGTGGGAGATTTTACCCTTTTCTTAGAGAGAGAGAGAGAGAGAGAGAGAGAGATAAGGGTTTTAAAAAGAAACTAATGGAAATAATGAAATGAAGTCCTTTTGTGATGGGACTCGGTTGCCATTGGTGAGGCGTGGGGGGCTTTAATAGGGTTTTTGATTTCTCTGTTTTCCAATGGTGCTGAATTATCGTTGGGAGGTAGTGCCTGTCTGATATGCATTATAAGTTTACTTGGTTTTTTGTTCAATTATATCTTAAAATAAGGAAATTCTTTGTATAAATTTGCCAACAATCCAACAGGAAAACAATTTCTAGGGAGTAGAAGATGGTCCGACAAAATGCACCCAATAGAAGAAAAATCTTGGCCTAAAACAACTATCAAATTCGAAAACAATACAAGACAAAAGTAAATCTGGATAATGTTTAATACTCTGGGAGGCACTCGAAAGCATTAAACTATATATACCAGAATCTTTCCTCCATTGACCCAAAAAAACCAAAGCTTAAAAATGAAACAAACTTAACTAACACAGACACGTCTGGCATTCAGATGCTACGTTCAAATCAGAAGCACTTCCTGTGGACAATAGCTGGGCCTGATTCATCATATTCACCCTTGGAAATCCACATCTGCAGCATAAAAAGTAGACGATAAGCAATGAAAGTTGATAGCATGCTATATGCATCCCCAGTAAATATCCCCAAATGAACTATACTCTGGAAATTAGAAGGGTGAGCATGCACAGAAAGTTACCTGCTGGAAGGTGCTAAGAGATGCCAAAATGGATCCTCCGATCCAGACACTGTATTTTCTCTCCGGAGGTGCAACCACCTTGATCTTCATGCTGCTTGGGGCAAGGGCAGTGATTTCCTTACTCATCCTATCAGCAATTCCAGGGAACATGGTTGATCCACCACTAAGCACAATGTTTCCGTACAGATCCTTCCTGATGTCAACATCACACTTCATAATGGAATTGTAAGTAGTTTCATGGATTCCAGCAGCTTCCATTCCAATCAGAGATGGTTGGAAGAGTACTTCTGGGCAACGGAACCTCTCTGCTCCAATTGTGATAACTTGCCCATCAGGCAATTCATAACTCTTTTCAATAGCAGAGCTGCTCTTGGCAGTCTCCAACTCTTGCTCATAATCAAGAGCAACATAAGCAAGTTTTTCTTTCATATCACGAACAATTTCCCGCTCTGCAGTTGTTGTAAAAGAGTACCCTCTCTCAGTTAAGATCTTCATCAAGGAATCTGTAAGATCACGTCCAGCAAGGTCTAAACGGAGAATAGCATGGGGGAGAGCATAGCCTTCATAAATCGGCACTGTGTGGCTCACACCATCACCAGAATCCAAGACAATACCTACACATTTAAGAGAATAGAGTTGGCAATAATGAGAGGAAGCAAATGAAATGAAATCTCCATCCTAGTTTCCAGTTTCCAATATTATATAACAAAATAGAATAAACAGAGCAATGCCTAGTGACTGTAAAGCTAAAATTATTTCAGTTACCAACTCTAGTATAAAATCAAAAACAGTTTCCAAACCATAAATAGATACCTGTGGTACGACCACTGGCGTAAAGTGAAAGAACCGCCTGAATAGCAACATACATAGCAGGAACATTGAATGTTTCAAACATAATCTGGGTCATCTTCTCCCTGTTAGCCTTAGGGTTGAGTGGTGCTTCTGTAAGGAGTACTGGATGCTCTTCAGGGGCAACACGAAGCTCATTGTAGAAAGTATGGTGCCAAATCTTCTCCATGTCATCCCAATTGCTGACAATGCCATGTTCGATAGGGTATTTTAAAGTAAGGATACCTCTCTTTGACTGGGCTTCGTCACCTACATAAGCATCCTTTTGACCCATCCCAACCATGACACCTGTGTGTCGTGGGCGACCAACAATACTAGGGAAGACTGCCCTAGGGGCATCATCACCAGCAAATCCAGCCTGCAATTTGCAAATACAAGAATAACACAAGCATCAACATTTGTGTAGTTAGAACAAATAATTAATAAAACACAAGCCAATCTACAACAAAATGTCTATAGCATCAAAAATGTAAAACAAAACTAGTACATGGCAGAAAATAGAATTACTGTCAATTTTGTCATTATTAAACTTTTCTAGGTAAAAGAATATGGAATGCAATGTCTTTAGGATTCATGCTAAGAAAATAAAACAAACTCATAAACATCAGAAATATAACTTACTAACTAACCTTGACCATTCCAGTTCCATTGTCACAGACAAGAGGTTGAATATCCTCATCCGCCATCTCTTACTAGCCTGTATTAGGAAAAGGAACTGTGGTAAAAATAATATATATATATATATTTCTTGGAAACCTTTTTCCATTATCAAAAGAGGATAACTATTATTAATCCTTTTCAACTCTGGTTTGATAATTCTTAAAACCAACACACTACAAAAACCAGAATCCAAGTACTTTGTTGCGTTGTTAACTGTATCATATCAAATACGAATAATAATTTAATGCGGTTTATATTCTATCTTATTTCCAATAGTTCACGACTTTTACTCTACAGAGCAGGTAAACTCCTAAAACATAAAAATCAAACAATATGTGAATCAGCCATTCCATAACTCAATTTCTGATCATATTAGTCATTAAAGAAAACATAAATCGAAACTACAAAAGAATTAAATACATAAACGATATAACACCCTACCCTACAACCGAGTATACACCAAATAATACAGAATCTGTAGTTCTCAAGCAAATATCAATCCATATTTCACCGAGATCTAGATGAATCAGAAATAGATATCAATTTGATGCACGAGGAAATCAAAATAAATTTCAGATTCCGCGAGCATAAAATTGTAACAATAGCACCTAGCAGATACCATAAAATAGGTAATTAAGTCAAACCTTTAGGCCGATCTAAACCATAAAACACAAATCAGGCCGGCTATTTGACACTGAATAGTGCATCAGGAAGAACAAAACATGGCAGACACGCGATTAGATAACTATATATAGTTATGACATAAGAAACAAGCAAATATAACAAAGTTATAGCCTCGCAGATCAAAGCAATTAATAAAAATTTAAAACAGATAAAAGACAATACCTTGTTTAAGCAAAAAAGGGGTAGAAAATGACAATATTTTCGACAGAGGCTGAAACAGGAGTGCAGAGTGAGGGAAATAGAGGATGCGGTTTTTATATGTGAGCAGAAATTGGAATGAGATGCAAATGAAATTCAACTGAAATTCAGTTTACCTCTGGAAAAGTAGAAGAAATGGAATATTTTGGAGGGGAAATAAGGAATCCATATTAGATGTCTAGATATCCACGTGGAGTCTCTTTAGATTCTTGTAGGTAGGGATTGACATAGTCGGGTTGAGTCGGGTTTGGACTAATCTGACTCAATTCGAAAAATATATATCATCTATCCGACCTGAATCCGATCTGACTCGACCTGAAATAATAATAAAAATATTTTTTTATTCAATAAAAATAATGATTTAATTGAAAAAAAATAATATATAAAAAAATATTATTGTAATTATTCCTAAATATATTAAATAAAATTATATTTTTTCCTGTTGGTCCTAAATACATAAGTATTATTGATAAAGGTATTTGTTTATCTTCCCGGTTTCGACTCCTTCTATGCTCCGTTTTGGGAATTAAATCTTATTAATTGAATAAAATTCACTAAATTTTTAACTATGGGTACTAAATTGAAATAGAAACTAAATGTTAGGTATAATTTTAAAATAATTGAAAGTTTAAGTACTAAATCAAACCAAACATGAAGATTTAGGTACTAAGAGCATAATTTACCCTTAATTGAATAACGTAATATTGATTAACTAATCAATTATATTATTAAATCAAATAATTTAAGTTTTAATAAAAAATTATATATCATTTTAAAAGTAAATATATATAAAAGTTAAATTAAATTATAAGCGAAGGATGTAATTTATTTTGACAATTAATTATAAATATATATTAATCACATAACTAGTTTAATATTCGAAAGTTATATTAAATCGATTCGAATTAAGTTTTGCTCGCTGCGTTGGAATTCATATTATTGAATTGTTTAAATGATGGATGTGTTGAGGCTGGCTAACCCATTTTACATGTTTCCTCCATTCTCATCTTCTTAAAGCGCAGCCAATGGTTGTTCATGTCTGACATCAGGCATCTTGTCAGATTTTGCGCTTCAAATAAGAGTGGGTAATTTTATATATGTTTTTCTTGTCGGTTTTAAAACAATGTTGGGCTGTGGATTTTGCAGAATTTGGATCAAAGAAAGATAGCTGGAAGATTAAAATATTAGATTCAAGAATTATTTACAGATATGGGGTCAGAGAAAGAATCATTGACTTCCACTTATATCAACAAAAATTCAACATTTTCCAAAGGACAAAGAATGTTCAATGATGACAAAGGCTGTGATTCTATGTTAAATGGAAAACCCAGAAATTATATGGTTATCTGAACAGGAACTAATCAAATATATAAATCAGCATACAGAATAATTCTAATCCAAGGTTACAAGTTACATACAACTTTACCGAAGATGCTTAAGATAAAAGAATTTCTTCAGAGACTTAACGTTAAATCCAAAGCTAAGGTTGTAGAATATGAAGAAGATGGATCATTTTCCAGAGGAGCAGGCAGATTCAGGTCCAATCCACAGTCTTCCTTTGCTACCAAAAGGCTGAGCCCTTGGTTCATTGATGTTTCATCCCCTTTCTCCCAATGGCGCCTTTTATGCCTATCCAAGGCCTGACCACTAGAGAACACCCTCAAGCAAATGCTGCATTTCTGACCCCAAACCATCAACTTACTGTAATCTTCAACATTTTCCCTCACCGTGTCGTCGTCATCTCCGCTATGAGCCTCAACGTCGTACACTCTTGTTATCGGGAAACACCCCATGGCGTTCTGGTGGCTAGCCCCGTGGTCCCCCAGTGATTGGGGTGACCCGAAGACCTTCTTGCAACTCGGGCATTCAAACCGGAAGTTTGCGCCCAAAGGTTCAGTTTCTTGAACCCTGGGTTGATAACTTGTACCGCATTCACTCACGCTGGTGGGGGCACCATCAGCCAGCATCAATAAGGACGCTGCAATTTCGTGATCGTCCTCTGTCATCAAGGTATCTACATTATTTGTTGGTTTCACAGGCCAAAAATGATTTGGAGGGGGGTTGATTCCACGCCACTGTCGCTCGGGGTGGCATCGCATGTGTCCGAAAAGTGCTTTCCATGACCAAAACTTCTTCCCACATTCACTACAAGGCGGTGTAATCTTCGGTGCATTAGGGTCAGGTTTCTTGGCATATTTAGGCCTGGAAACAGTTTCAGAACGAGTCGAGAATCCACCAACACCGATCTTTATCAATTTGGACCGTTTCTTTCGGGGTTTCGGATCACAATTCACATTATTGCTTGATGAAGAAGGCGAGCCTAGGATATTATGTTGAGTAACAGAAGAAAGGAATCGAAACCCTGGATCAGAATCGACATTCTCGTTCATTTTCGGAATAAAAGGAGAGGAAGACACCAAAGAGACAATGGAGAGTTGAAAGAGGGAAAATTTGTAAAAACGGTTGAAGTCTTGTGTATGTAGGAGTGTTGGCAGTTTCTATCGTTATGGGAAAGGGAAGTTATGAAGTGGGCGGTTTTTTTCAGTTGGATGTTGGAAACATGGGGTTGTTACGTTTGGATTATGCTTCAGCGCTTTTCACTAAGCATAAAATGTTCCTTGGCGCTTACGGTAGAGCTATAAGCATGCGACTTTGTTTATGGAAAATAAGTTCCCGAAAATATATGTATTCTTTTAAAATTATATTTGTCCGAATTCGATATAGTTAATCGCAAAAATTAAATAGAAAACTATGGTAAGCCAGCAAGGACGCAGAAACTTAAAGAGGATCATTTCACCTCAATATGACAGTACAGTTGGAATTCAAGACCATCCCATAGTTTTGGGTAAGAAAAATATACAGAAGATAATCAGAGTTGAAAACTACAGTAAAATTCCAGATAGTCACAACCACAGTGACAACTGCGGAAAAATACCTAGGATGAATGAACAAAACACGTATAAAAGTTCGTGCATCAACTCTCCAAGGACGGGCTACAACTTTTACAACACTTACTGCCTTGTAATCAAAGCCCTTTCATTTGCATGATTGATCTGATTTAGTTAAGGGTGCTTTATCCATCTTCGTAGTTTTTCCAAGGACATTTAAAATGCCGACACGCTGCAACTCTTTCGCTGGGGAAAAGTAAAATATTAGATTATAATCAAATCCATGATGTAACATAGTCATAGATACCAAGGGTAAAGAGAGAAACGAGCGGAGGAAAAAGGACACAAATAAATTACCTTCCTCCAGTGAGAGCTGAATTGATCTTTTTTCCAGCTCAACAGCATATCTGCTGAGTTCAACTGCGGAAAAACACTGAAGCACTGACAAAATAACATGAATAGATTGTAAATCAGTATTATAAGCTTCTTTTTTTGACATACAGTATTGTAAGAATTTTATAACTGAAAAAGTAGAATATGGTAAAGATTAATTCATCACATCGACATACTCTCGGTATAATCCTCTTGATTGGATTGGTCCAACTTTTTCAGCCGCATCTGCAATTGATAATATAGCTCTTCCCAATGAAGTTTTTTAATTCCTTTTGGGCTATCGAACAAAGGGGAAGCAGCAACAACGGGATGTTGATTGGATTCTAAGGGTGTTAACTTTGTAGCAGACTTCCCAATAGGTAACGGTACTAAAGGTTTGGTAGATGAACTCGTCAAGGATGCCATCGGATGTGGTGCGAATTCTGGAAAACAAGAAACTTTTGAATCCTTTATTAGGGATTTTAGTTGTTTAATTTCCTCCAGTTGTGTGACTTGCCTCATCTGTTGGCAATTACTCGTGCCGATACAGTCAAAAGCACTGTTTTTGCCCAATTCAGCTTCGCATTTTCTCCGGACAGAGACAAGGTGCCTGTTTGCTGCCGTATTGCTGTGAGACTGGCATTGCGAGGGGCTCAGTGGGCATTCAGGAGACGCTCTCTTAGTTCCAGAAACCTTGATAGGATCAATACAAGTTCCTCTATCTTTAGGAAATGGGGAGCTTCCCGTGGAGTTGGGCACAATTCTATTTTCGTTCTGGAGATCTCTCAATGGTGTCTTCTTTGTACCAACTGAATGTTGCTTATCACAAGCGGGCGAGTTATTCTCTGGATTCAGGAGTCCAAGTTCACTGAATTTAGAGTCTAGCATTTGTTGAACCATCTGATGATGTTTGATTCCTGTAAGAAGACTGGTCATAATAAAAGAATCCAAATTAAAACTAATAACTAAATATAACTTCTGCAATCTGAATGACTTAATATAACTTCTACGGAATCAAATACATATTGCTTTCCATAAATAACCAGTAGAGCTCAGATTTGGCTGAAAGTGAAAATAACAATCAAGTCAAATTAAGCACATACCAAAGCAATAATCAGTTCCGAATAATAGATCACTCAGGAAAATTAATCACATGTGTAAAAGGAAAGCACATCATAGCATCAATATTTGCACAAGAATATCCATAAAGTTACGGTATCAAAACGGATTTGTCGACCTAATTATCAGTACTAGAGGCTAGAGCCATAACTCGACCAACTTAAGAAATGGAACTTGGATCATTTGAGAATAAAGCTTATACTAAAATACATTTCAAAATGAATCATGTTTGAAATTGATAACTTTTTTTTTTCAATTCAAAACAGCATAGCCGCAACAAGCTCAGTAAAATCACTATCTTGACCTATTATAAACAGTGATGCACCATAACCCATCATGCATTTTGGTTTGGCTTTCTTTTCACAGAAATAGGAAACAAATTTAGCATTGCAAAACCCTAAACAATTAGGTTACTGTCAGTGACGGCTGAACAGAGTATTTTCACTAATAAATGACAAAATTGTAGATTACATCAACCAAAGGCAGAAACTAACAGACAAAAACAAAGAATCAACCAACATATGCATAATAAAAACATCATTCTTCCAATTTCTTTAAATTCCATCAACGCAAGCACATTACAGACTGCAAAATTTAAAGACCCAGAAGCCCGGATGTTCCATCAAACACAAATTAATCAAATTTTTGGGACATGGATTCTGTAATATGCATTGAAAGAATGCACATTGAATCAAAATGCATAAATTTGAACAAGAAAATCGAAATATTCATTCAATGCTATCAAGTTTTATCATTTTCTGAACACTCAAAATTACCAAACAAGTAAGAGAGAGAGAAGGGGAGGGAAGGGTTAAGGAGATTGAACTGCTATAAATGAAGAAAATCTAGAATTCAAACAGATTCGGACTAGGCATTTACCTTAGCTCGTTGAAAACGCAGAGGGAGATAGAAGAGAAGAGAGCGAGGGAGAATGAAAGGTTTCAAAAGCGGGGAACTTTCAACTTTGCCTCTAACCAAGTAGTTCAATTTACTGTTTAGTCCTTCGTGCATTTTAAATTTCTAAATTTCTTTTAGGAATATAAATGAACGTAGAGCATTAGGTGAATTATTGATCAATTATTCGTATAATATTTATTTGTTAAGCTAAATAAATGAATATGAACAAAATATTTATGTACATTTAATAAACGAATGAACACAAACATAAATGTATTTAATTCGTTCATATTCACAAATAAACTCGTTTATAACTCATTCGTTTTCAGGAACAAACTTGTTTAGAAGCTCATTTACTCTTTTTTTTAATAATTTAAATATTAATTAATATAGAAACTAAATTTAACGCATGATAGAATTTAGAATTTAAACTATGAAGCTTAAAGATTTTAAGCATTAATGGTATAATTTTACCATTTTTTAACTGACAAGTGAACATATTTACAAACACTAAATGAACATGTTCGCAAACATATAAACGAACACATAAATAAATATGTTTACGATCGCTAAATAAACATGTTCGCGAATATATAGACGAACTCAGAAACAAACGCTAAACAAATATGTTCATAACCATAAAAGCAAACATGTTCACGAACATTAAACGAGCATATTCGCGAACGCTAAACGAACAAACACAAACACTTTAAAAAATAAATAAATAAATACAAACACAATATTAAAATTTAAACGAATATGAATCGAATACAACCTTTAATAATAAAAAATGAACACGAACACAACCTATTTGTTCAAGCTCGGATCATTTATACCCCTGAAGTTTCCTGTAAGATTCTCCACAGAATCGAAAAGCAACAGAGAACATAAATCAACAATGCTGGAAGCATCGTTTTAAAGTTCTAAAAAAACAGGGATAAAAAGAATAATCCAAGGTGTATGTACATAAGCAAGTGCTTGGACGAAAGATGAAACGATCCAAGAATGCATAGAGGCCTATGTATCAAGTTCTCTGGGCATGTCGTCGAGTTTACTAGCTCATTACACAGTATACGCCCGAATCAGCATAATCTGTGGTTTGCTAAGGCAGCAGGCTAAATCAACTAATCTTACACGTCTTACATGAGAGCTCTTGTTAAAATTTAAAAGCATTATATTGAGGAATTACAGCCCGGGATTCCCCAGAAGCCTCTCAACCGCGGCATGGACATTTCCACCAGTAGCGCGTAGTGCTCTGATATTCTCTACCATATCATAGAAACCCGTTTCTTGGAGTTGTGATAATTGTGTAGCATACAGTTCTGGTGGAGCTGGAAACGACGATAAAGTTAGTAGTGACCCAAAAGTGTAGCAAATCTGATTCATAAAGATGCCAAAATATATAAGAATGCTAACCATCAGATTGGCTGGGAACACTTGGCTACCGGCACCTAGACCACCAAACATATTCATCAACAACTCCAGACCAGCAGTACCTGGAGCTCCTGAAAATGCAATCAAACCAAATTAAGTTGTAAAACATAAAGATATATGAAAGAATAGTTGGTAAAGGAAAGTTGCAAAACAAACTAGAGAGAGCCCAAGACTGTTCAAGGAAGTACTCTTCATGCCCTTTGTAGAGAAAATATAAATACAGTTTGGACTTGTTTTTAATTCTGTACCTGTAGTAGCACCACTCTGTGCTGAATCCCTGCAAGAAAGTCGACAAGTTGTAATCATGAATAATAACCGCACATTAAAACCTATGACTGAAAATATAATCATCTTATTGCCACATTACCATATAAAAAACAGAGAGAACTTGGTTCTGTTTTGAATTCCCTAGAAAGGCCCAAAATAAAACTATAATTCACAAATAATTATCTAATACAGTTGCATATGGCACAAGAAATCCATGCTCAATGTAGAAGCCTGACATATTAATTCATTTCAGACAACAATTTTGAATTGTTTAACAGCAACACGTATTGTACTTGGGAAAACCTCAAAATGCAGGAGATGAAAAGGCATTGAGGTTTTTGTTACCAATGGAATACACAGGTACTACGACTTACTGTGCTGATAGCTGGGACAGAAGTGACAGCTGTAGAGCTAGCATTTGCTGCACGAAATAAAAGAAAACAAAGTGGTTAAATTTAATGTCAAAACAGTACTTGAAAATAAATCAAATAATCTATAACTATCCAGCCGGGCAGCCTTTACATGTCTAGAAGACCATATCAGCTAGGTAACCTTATAGAAAAGAAAGATTCAAAACCCTAAAGTCATGAAAGCATTTAGCATTCATGTGAAGAAAACTCAACGATGCATAAAACATATAATATACCTGCATTGTCTCGGGGGAAAACATCTGACGAAGTACTTCCGGGTTTTGCATCATTTCTCTTAATTGAGGATTCAAATCAAACATACCACGTAGTTGTGGGTTCAAATTCATAATCTGAAATGTAAAGAACAGATTCTTAACAAAAAGGATGTAGGCAAATAAAAATTTCTTAACTGAAGTGATTCTTTATGGTACCTGATTCATATATTGGGGATCAGAGGCTATGCTCTGCATCATCTGTGATACAGCTGGGTTTTGCAACAATTGAGTCGACTAAGAATCATCTGGCATTCCATTCAACATGGATGGCATATCCGGAAGTCCAAGGCCTCCAGGAGCACCAAGACCTGGTGCCCTAGCATCCCCAGCGGGATTTGACCCTGCAGTAGCATTGGTCTGCCCCCCCCCCCTCCCCCAACAATTTCAAACACATGTGCAGCAGAAGTAAATTGCATTTAAAGACAACCAAAGGTTTAGATATTCTACTTCACCATATAATATCTTTCAGGCTGCAATTCTAGTAGAAGTGCGTAGGACTACGACAAATCAGCTTTAACTTGCATCACTTTTTTTTTTTTTTTTGCTTTTCCTAAATATAAATGAATCCCATCTATATTGGAAAACTTCAACCACATAAAACAAAGAAGATAAAAGTAATTCAAAATCATGCAAAGGTGGACAACAAACTACGATTAAATGAGTCTCAAACAAATCATTCATCCCTCAACGGGACACCCCTAGTAAATCATTCCACTTTAAACAATTCATATATTCTAGTTCAGTCAAACATATTGATTTTGTGTATCAACTGTGGTAATAGATTATAGGGCACGTCACTTTAGCTTACTGTACAAAATATTCCAAATAAGAAAGAACCTGCAATTCATATTGCAAAATTCAAGAGAAAAGATAAAAAATCATAACCATGAAATAAAAAAGGGGAAACAAACCATACTTAGATGACTCTCAATCAAGTCATTCACCCCACAACAGAATAAACTTGGTATGATGTTTCATTTCAAACATTGATCAAATCCACATAATCACAATTACTTAGACCATCGGCTTTAAGGATTATGCTTCTTTGATTTATTTATTTATTTATTATCAGGCGGTAGCATTTTGGATTCTACTGTCTTTGTTCTCTACAACAGGAATTGCATGTGCATATAATAAAAAAATGCGAACATTGGACCAGAGAGTATGGCTAGAAGGAAAATATGATTTAATGGGGAACAGAAGGCTGAAACTTACCACCAACAGTGTTGCCCCAAGGGTTAGGAAGAGGATTAGTGTTTGGGGAAGCTTGTCCCTGACTCGTTTCAGAACCATGTGCAGAAGTGTTGTTAGGAGAGGCCCTAGCTTGAGAATCACCTAGATTGCCCAATAAAGCTTTAAATGGGTTTGAGCTTAGGCTATTTCCATCATTTCCAGCTGTAGTCGTAGCATTCATAAATGGTTCCTGAACATTTTCATACATACGCCTGAGCATATTAAACCCCTCAGGAGAGAATTCAATATTACTCATTGCCCTGTCAGTGTTTCACATCATTTCACGCATGAGTTCAGGGTTCCTTGCAGCTTCTAATGTCTGTCGAAGAATGCTAGAATCATTAAGTATATGCCCAAGCTCCGGATTCTGATCAATGATCTCACGCATTTGGGGATTGCTTGTAATCAAACTACGCATTAACTCTGGGTTATTCATCAAACTTTGAACAGCAGGTGTATTCATTAGTTCACTCATCATGTCCGGATTTTGACTTAGTTGCTGTACTTGCTCAAATTCGGGAAGTCCAGATCCAAACAAACCAAAATCTCCATTTCCCCCAAGTGCATTAAGACCAGGGAATGAGGGTACTCCCACACCAGCACCCTCATTAGAACCAACACCACGTGTGACACCTGGTGCAGTACTAGGAGTCCCAACATTTGTGGTAGCCGCAGGAGGCGATACAGATGAAGATGGGGGGAAACCACGAACCATGTGAACAGTATGATCACCTTGCAAACCTTCAATGAGGGTAAAGACAGTGAAATGGTATAGCAGTCATTAAGTACTTGTGCAAAATGTAAATCTGGGTGTACAAATTTTTTTTTTTGATAAAATAAGGCCTCATTAAAAACCCCCTTCTTATCGTACATGTTACAAACATAACATGAAGGACATTGGAAGGAGGAAAAGAGTGCCTCTAACTTTTATTAATAAGAACAATAATACACCTCCACACCTCAACAGCTAACAACTTCTTACAAAACAGAAAACCATAAATCTGAAAACATAACACACCCTGATACTCCCTAAATATGAACAACCGAGGCATAACACCTTAACCATTATACAAACCTAAAGATCAGCCTATACCAGCTTTAGCTAATTCATCCGCTTCCCAATTTGCTGCTCTCGAGATGAGCCTTGTGATAATACCCTTCCTCTCCACAGTAGAAGCTATATCCCTTACTAAGGAATGAAACAAAGTAGTATTAAGGTTCGGATTATTAATCCACTTTAGAGCATTAGAAGAATCCGATTCCAAAATGATCCTCTGATTTGAAAAAAAAACAGCTTCAACTTCCTCAATAAGAATCAACCCTCTCTTGATCGCCAAAAGCTCTGCGAGTAAGGGAGGACCTCCCCCTACCTTCTCTGAAAATGACCCAAGCACCATCCCACTGCCATCTCTAATC